TGATACCACCAATCGTCCTCGTAGCCCGCATCCGTGTAGTAGAGGTCGTCGTGCCAACCATGCACAGCATCATCATCCTGGTCATCCCACCATCCATGCTGGTAGTAGGCTTCGTTGACATCCGAGTCCTGGAGGTAGTGGGCGTTGTAGCTCCCCGGGTGTCCGCCGTGACGGCCCAGAAGTTGGTCGTCCCATAAGCCTTGAAGGGCTGAAGAAATGACACTGTAGTCGAGGCTGTTCTTCGTTGTGCTCAGGATGTCGCGCTTCTCCTCATGGGATAACCCTGCCGCCTGCAGGAGGCGCCACCCCCTGAGCACATCGAGGATGAAGCTATCTGCAAGAGTCAGCTCATCGAGCGGCGTTGGCTTTTCAAGCTTCTTGTCATCAGGCACAGGCGACGGTTCATCAAGCACGCTGCCGCCGTCGCGATGATGACTCGGAGAAGATCCCGGAGCGGCCGACACCTTGGGTTCTCCACGGTCAGCTCCCGGAGAAGGTCCATCTTCGGGTGGATCGGCGGCACCGGCAACATCGTCACGCTCGTCCTCTTCATACTCAGCCTCGTACCAGTCGCCATTGTCCCACCAACTGGACCAGCCGTAGTCCGCTTCCCAGTCGTAGTCGCCTTGATCCTCAGAGGAGGGCAAACCAAAGTCGCGGCTTTCTTGACTGACTCCAAGCTTGTCTTCGTGGAGCCTGATGATTGCCTCCACGAACTCCTCGTGCATGAGAGTCTCTCTGACCAGAAACGTCTGGATGGATTCTCCTTGGAGTCGTTTAAAGCCGAAATATTGCTGACATATAGCAGCTGCGTTGGGCAGCGACCGACGGACCAGCGGACTAGCCGCCAGTCGTTGAAGAAAGATCTTCACTCCATCGACGCTGTCGAACCCCATTTTGCTCCAGCTCATGGCTAGCAGTCTTGCGGGGCCTGAGAGGCGAGACAAAAGTCGGGATGCCACATATCGCCGTTTGTGTACCGGCGTTGATTGCATGTACCAGGAGACTTCGCGGGTGTAGCGCCGCCAAGTGCGGGCAGATCCGTCCCATCCGGGGACCGATGACGAATCCTTGCTGTCCGCCATGATGTCGCGAAGGTGAGGTAGTCGATGTCGTAGACGCAGAAAAGGAGGTAGTCGGAGTCGTAGACGCCGAGAAGAATGTAGTCGACGTTGTAGACGCCGACCAAGAAATCTGGCAGTGATGTCGTAGTCACCACCAAAACCAAAAGA